GTCTCCAGCATGACTCAACCCCGTTGAAAAGCAGGAGGTTTACAAGTCACTTCATTTCTTTCAAGCGAGATACATCATATGGAGGAAATAAATAAAATGTTTTTTACAAAAGTTATTTTCAGTGCCTGGCCCCTGGTGGATAATTGGGTCTATGTGGTTTCATGAGCTGCTTCTATCTGGGGATTTTTCCCCATCAGTTTTGGCTCAGCCAGGCAGAAATCCCCGTTTTGAAGCCCCTCTATGATGGCAGCAGGACCTGGCCCAGGAGCGCGTCAGCATTTCCTTCTCACTCTGACAAATGTATCTTGGAACTATTCCTGTTCCAGTTCCTGCCTTATCTCCAAGACTGTGGGCAGGGTAAAAACTGCCTTTGCACAAATGTATTTTTCCTAAGGTCCTGTGTGCTGAGGGCCATCTTTTACTTGCCAAAACCCCAGACTGCAGCTCCGCTCTGAGGTTTTCAACACATTTTTAACTATTTCACGCCCAAACTGCAGGCAGTTTATTGGCCAGCCATGAAATGTTTGTGTTCATGCTCTTCTTTGTCTCCCTCTCACTGGCCTGTGTTAAAATTTACACAAAACAAAAGGGGGGGGAAATAAGAAAATTACTGTCATGTATCATCCTAAGGAAAATGAAGTTAGTGTGTCTTATTTGCAGTAGTCAAGAGGGATTAAAAGCAGAAGCAAACATTTATCTGGATCAACTGATATATCATTATGATTGCAGCTTCTTCCCCCCCCCCCAGAGTTCCATGGTGGTAAAATTTTGAGGATGAATTATGCCAAGTTTTGAGTATCCCCTGTTAGCTGCTCCTTGCCCTCACTTCCAGTCAAATTGCCTGAACTGACTGCTGTCAGCACTGGGCAGAATTAAGAGCCCTCCTGGAAAAGCATCCCCAAACCTACAAAAATAACTGTAAAAGAACTGAATGGGGCAGGTGTGAAAAAAGAGCAAAGAGGGCTAACACAGGAGAGATGGTTCATTGAACTCAAGGGGGCCAGGTAGTAGCTGAAATTTCAGTATTATAAATAGGACATTATGTAGCTGAACTAAAAATAGGAGTTTTATTTTTACTTGATGTTCCTTGCTGCTGGCTGCTGACCTAGAGAAAGAGGACTCAGAAAGGAGAATTAAACAATTCCCCACAACCATGCAAAACAAAACCACCAGCCTGGCTCCAGTGCCTATTTGCAAGCTAAGAAGAATACAATTTCTTTTAAACTAATTTCAAAAGATGTCTAACTGAAAGAGCTCCCTAATGCTGCTACGAAAAGAATGCAATAGAATACAATTTCTGCAGAAAACCAAGTGCAATTACAAATTCCCTGTCTACATAACTTGATATAACAGAAAATGGCTGGTGTATCTCCTCTGATTCCTTCACCCACTCTGGGTGTGTGCAACTGCTCTCCACGCTGGAAGCACTCTCTGCTCAAGGGTAACAACACATTATCATTCCAGGACTGGCTTTCAAGGCAAGATTGAGGGGTCCAGCAAAGGTCTGGAAGAAAATGTGATGTCAATTTGCCACCTGCCAACGGTCTCAGGGCAGCACCTTCTGTTCTTCCCTTTCCTGAGGACCAATTTGACACTTAAACAGAGAATCTGAATTTAGCTCCAGTAAAATGGCAGCTTTGCTGGCCAGCTGCTGAGGTGGTTCTTCATACTTTGTTTCATTTAAAAAAGGAAAAAAAAAATAGCACAAGCCTAAACCACTGAATCTGGATTCAAGTTTCAAGCTCACACATTCTAATTCTCAGGACAAAAGCGACTTGAAACCATGGTTTTGGTTCTGCTTACAAAGATAAGAGGAAGTTGTAAAATAAAACCAGATCTGAATCTGAACTTAAGTTCACAGATGTTTAAGTCCATGGCATTTTGGGAGGGGGGGGTGTGTGCATCACTAAAATCTAAGGGTCTTGATAGACTTGAGGTTTCCCTGAGCTATTTTTGGCTGTATCTGCTAAATTCTGGATCTTTGCAATATACCACAGACCCCAAGGGGCTGTGCTCAAGTATTTATCCATCATCACTTTAGTAGGAAGCCGAACTGAAGATGAGAATATGGTGATTTGACTTTGAAGAGTCAGCCATAATGACTTAAACGAATTTATGGCAACAACAAAAATAACTTGTGTTACTTGTCATTGCTGGTAACGCTGAAATAAAGGTACTTATTATAAGAAATTGTTTATACTTATTTATGGAAAAATACTTAGCATCTGTGTAGTCTGCATGCAAATTTTCCAGTCAGTCATTCTTTCTCATGGGCTGAAAAATAGCAAATTCCTTATTTGCTGTATCTGTACACCATTCACATCCTTCACTATATTAGTGATCTGATTTGTTTGGGAATGGCAAGACTCAGAACATAATTCTGCACTTAGCTTAAATAATTCTAAAATGCAGGTTAGCACAGAAACAGATGATAATTCCAAACTTCTTGCTGCTGCTAAGCTATTTTAGCTTCTCTCGCTGTCAAAGCCAAGTCAAACACACCTAAATTAAAATGCCTATTTGCAGTGTCTCAAAAGACAACAGAAAGATTAATGTATTTTGTTTTCTCTCCTGATTTTTTGGTAATACTTTTTCACTTTTCATATGTTGGATCAAAATCCCCAAATAGAAGTAAACGCCCTCACTAAGCTGCAGGGTTGTATTACTGCTGGGTTTTGATACAGCAGGGAGAGGAGAGAAAAACAAGAACCAGAACCCTTCCATATTGGAAAAGTTGGCTAAATTGGCCATTTCCTTTCTTTCATTGTACAATTTTCTACACATTTACACATAAATAAATAAATAAATAAATACACATACCCCACCACTTCAAATGTAGCTTTGGATGCTACTAGTAATTTCAACAAACCTACACTGGTGCCTTCATTTTTTCCCCTTCTCCTTCCTTAATAACAGAAAAGAATTGCTGGGCAGCCTCTGTAACCCTCCTGGCAGCAAAGGGAAGGGACACAACAACTAAGGAAAGGACACAGCCAGCCCCAGGTGGACCTGACCTGCATTTGCCTGGTGTGACCCACATCTCTTAAGCCCCATTTTTGGTGTAAGGGCACGAGGAAACTTCAACTCAGCAGGACCACAATGCACTGACACTGGCCTGTTGATCTATGGCCACAAACAATGCCAGCCCCAACAAGCTACAAATAAAAGTCACAGTGATTAATGTCCCAAGTTCTGCCCCAGACATTCAACCTATTAAAACAGAGATATTTTCAAATGGACAAGGTTCTTGCAGCTCAAAGGGAGAATTCTCACTTCCCCTGCAGGTGCCTTCCCTTTCTGCTTCCCCAGCATAATGTGTAGGACACAACTTCTCTGTGCAGTATCTTCTAACACATGGTAACATCTAACAAACAACTAGAGACAACACTGCAACATCTCCAGTGAGCACTGGACACTGGAACTGGTTTCCACTTGAGGCACCACTCCCTGCAGCAATAATGCAACTTCCCAACCAGGAGATTTAGTTCCACTGCTTCATTTGCACCCTCCCCTTGAGCACAGCCCCAGCACAGAGACAGAAGCCCTTGAACACAAGCCCAGCCCCAAAAAATTCAAGGGAAAATGTTTAGCTCTGGTTATGACCAGCTCATTTAAGTGGCTCCATTTTGAATACCAAGCAGGTCCAGAGGAAAGTTTTAGGTTTCCACGTCGGTGCCCCATTTTAGCCCTCACACCATCTACTCTTGGCCATCCTGCAAACAGAACCAACAGCAGCACAGCTGCATCACTGCAAGGGAAAGCTGGCTTCCTGAAGAAACTTCTAGTATTTACATCTTTTCCCCGCACCAAATGTCATAACTCCAACCAGCCTCTTCTATTTTCCTAGTTAAAATAAACAAGCCCTCTTATCACTAAAAACATCTCAAATCCAATTCTCTGTGACAGGAACAGCCAACAGGTTTTGGACTGTTTGCTGCCACACACCACACACTTGTACATCCACCTAAATGAAGCCACTGCGGACCAATTATGAGGATTCTGTTATTCCATTTGGACTTAACTCATTTGGGGATTTGATTTTTGATTTGTTTTCCTCTGAGGTTTTTTGGAAGCACTAGTGGGATGGAGTTTAAATTAAATTGGGACCATCAGCATCCCAAAGACAACTATTCAGTAGCACACATTTAATATTGATTTAATATGATTATGTGGGCTGTTTGTAACCGCAGCTGTCTAACTAATGCCACTTAGACACAAAGCACTTCATATGTTCATTACCAAGAATGTTAGAATATGAACCAAACCAAAACACAGCTACATAATCCACACAAATATTTAGCTCTGAAAGCTACAGGAAAGTTTAAGAATTAAAGCTGGAATTGTCAATTGACAGAGACAGCTGAGGTGAATTGTTCTGTGAATTGCACACATGGTCTAAGTGCCACTGAATAAATAATTACAATACTATAAAATATCCAAGCAAGTCACAACCACTATGCCATCCAGAATGAATCCCTAACAAAAAAAACTGCAACAATGCCAGTTGTCTTTGAGGATGACCTTATATTCCTGGCTTCTTCCAGAGCCAGGTGCAGTTCCAATATCATGCTGAACTCTGGAAAACAGGAATGCCTGTATTAGGGCACAACACTGCTGTTTCCAAAACACCTGTTATAACTAGCAATCCAGGGGGGTGGAAAAGAGGGAGGTATAGACTTCTAATCCTACCAAACACAGGATTATTGGGAACGTCAGTGCCAGTCCCTGCTGGGGTTTGTGACCAGGGCCCTGCTCGGGACACAGCAAAGTCCAACCACGTTTGCTTATTTCAACAGCACTGTTCCGAGCGCAACATCCACTTGACGTAAATAAATAAAAAACACGGTGGGTGGTAAATAAAATAGGATTGTGCAAGAGAATTTGGCATCAACGAGCTATCAATACCATCCATATGAGTATGTCAGGGCACGAGGGGGGTGGTCTGTGAGAACTCTTGGCCACGAGTGAAGAGCGTGGGTGTCGTTTTATGTGTCTTTTACCTGAAGCAGAGACCGCGGTAGGGCCGCGCGGCGTTCAGGGGAGGTAGCACCTGGCCAGCACGCAGCACGCTGCTCTGAGGAGGGCTGAGGCCATTCCCTGGCACAGCACTATCACCTGGGGACAGCACCGGCTCCTGGCACAGCACCGTGCCCTGGCACAGCCCACACACCGAGGTGCGGGGCCACCGCCACGCGGGGACCGCCAACATGGCGGCGCGGCCTCACGGCCCCGCCCGCGCGCCGGGGAGGACACCGCCCCCCGCACAGCGCGGCCGCTGGGCGGCGCCAACGGGGCGCGGGACGAGGGATGAGGGGAGCGGGGTGAGGGATGAGGGGAGCGGGGTAAGGGATGAGGAGAACGGGGTGAGGGATGAAGGGAGGACTGGTCGGGCCGGGCCCGCAGAGCCTGGCGGCATTCCCGGCGGCTGCCAGGCGGCGAGTGGAGCCGGCGCTGCCGGCCGCGCTGATCCCGCAGCGCTGGCGGCTCGCCCCGGAGCGGCCCCGGGAGGCAGCTCCGTGCCCGCCGCCGTCCCGGTCTGGGCACGGTCACGTCCGGTGTCTGTTGGCTGGCAGGTCTGCCAGGGCTCGGGAAGAACACTGAAACATTCCCAGTGTTCTTCCTGGCAGGCTGTAAGGAAGGGTTTTCCAGCCGCAGTCAGCGCTGGCATCGTGGCACGGCCGGAGCGCGGCCCCTTCGGCTCAGCGCAATCAAACTAGTCAAGCCCAGGCTGCTGGCAGGAAAGGTCAGGAATACTTCTCAGTGACAGATCTTCTAAAAATTAGAGCGTTGATGTCGTGCAAACAGAACACGTCCTCTGTACCCCGTGCTGTCAGCACCTCAGTGTTGGGGATGTCATGGCCATATCAGTGTTCCCATGGCTCAGGGACACGTATCCACATTCTTTACCGCATTTATCTTTTGTCAAGGTAAAACAAATCTCCAGGTTCTGGGTGGCTGATGGCTGTACTGGGGATGAGTTCTGTCAAGCCATCAGTAACATCTTTCCAGATAATCAATGTCCCAAAAGATTTTTCTGCTCAGTTACCTTTTGGAAGTGTGGTTTGTAGGGGTCTACATAAAATCCCAATAAAAGTCTCACTGGATAAAGCTCCATATCAAAGTTTCCAGCCCTTAAAATGTCACCAAATAGTTCAAAAGAGTAACTTTAAAGTGTAGTGGTTCACAAGAACCATTTTTAGGCTAACTATATATTTTGTTTCCATTGATAAATTTTCTGCTACACCTCAATTGAAAAAGGTTTGGGGAACCCGATGTGAATTTAGTATTTACTTCAAAGTTTTTATTAGTTGACCTTCCTGTACAACGAGGCAGGTTCTGTTGATGAGCAGCACAGTTACCACTGAGCCTGTAAACTAAACAATCTAATGGGACCACTAAGATTTGCTGATACTCCATTTTAATCAATGTTAATAAAACTGAACGTGTAACTTAAGTTACAGCTGTAAAATCCATTATGTTCCCCAAGTAGAGAATCCACTTTGCTCAAGCACAAGTGTTAACAATTCATTTTAGCTATCACATTCTGGTATCATAGTTTTCTTGTTGTTCATGTCTTTTTAGGTATTCCACAGAAATGTGTTTTCAGTTATATCAGAGAGATTTTGTATTAGAAGTCAGGCATTCTTTTGAAGCACGGGCAGTGCCAAATTAAAAAATGCCTGACTGTTGAATGTGGTGAAAAGCTTCACCAAAGTGCTTAACACATCAGAAATATTCATTACAGTGATTCCCAGTTAGGGTAGGAATAACTAACTTCCCAGCTGCATATTTTAGAAATAGTTATTCACATTAGTCATTCCTGTGGAGTGTGCACCAAGACTACATCTCTGACAGGGTCTTTTTGAGTACACTCTGACACTCAAGAAGTTCTGCACGCCCAGAAAATTCACATTCAGCTCATCCCTGTGTTGGTGAGCAACTACCCAACTGTTTGAATAACCAGTGTGTCAGCTGGGAATCAGATGGGGAAAAGGAAGCAGCTACAACACTCCCAGGATTACAGTTCTCACCCAAATTGTACAGCCAGCTCAACTGAATCAAGGCTTTACTGCAAAGTCTAGAAAGTACATAGTCTTTATCTGCACAAAGGACATCATTCCTCAAGGGTGTTACCAGCTGAAGAGGAGCAGGGAAAGAAAAATGGTACATTCATAACATATCAACACTCAGCGTTGCAGCTCAACAGCAACACCAACATCAAGTGCTGTTGTAGAAAGAACTTAACACCAGAGCAAGAACCAGCCCTGCTGCTCTGACACCATGTGCTGTTATTCAGCACAATATCTTTCCTTCTAATAAAAAATAAATAAAAAACAAAACTGAAAAGAAGGAATACAAGATGTCCTCATTTCGTTTTCCACCAAGAGAAAGTACACAAGCAATAGTGTTACCAGGTATTTCTGGTAAAGCTGGAGGGATGTGCTGGACAGTTATCACATCCTAGACTTTCATGGTGCTTCAATGTGGAAAATCCTCACTGCTGTGGCCAGGTCTGGGTCAGAGCTGCCATTTGCCCTTTCTGTTTCCCCCTTCTTCACTTTCCCATGTGAAATGTCCGTGAGCTTCTCACACACAGCACAACACAAAACCACACCAAATTTCTTTTTCTCTTCTCTCTCAAACATGCTCTTTTCAGAAACAACAACAGGGGAAATACTCCTACAGACAAATGACATTACAATACAGTTCCTTCAAAGTCCTTACAGATAAAGTTTATTTCAGCCAAGGCATCCCCTCTCACCACTCAGCTCACTTTAGAAAACAAGAAAAAAAACACATTTACCATTTCACCTTTTCCCCTTTCTCTGTCAGAGAAATCATAAGTATTATTGCACCAGTGTTTCTCCGCTTCAAGATCAAATTAGCAACACAAACTCTCTCAAACAAAAGGAACAAAACCCACAGCAATCAATGGGGACTCTCATCTCACACTACTAGTGGGCAATTAGCAAAGAGAAACAGAAGGATGAACAAGATCAGACTTTCACTAAGTAAACAAAGCTTATCTGTAAAATAGAATTATTGCTAAATGTAGTTCAAAGTATCAATAGAAATTGTGTGTTCCATTTGGTCTTTCATTCACTAAGCACATTGATCTTTGAAAGCATGATTCTGACTAATGAGCTGTGTTAAGTGGCTCTTGGATTTTTTGTTTTGTTGCTGTGTGAAAGATCGGGGCTCACAGAAGCTGATGAAAGAAACAAAAGCTTCAGTGCTTCTGCTCTCAGATGTCAGCCTCTCGACCTAATCTCTGGAACAATTCTCAGTTTATTTATTTACTTAAAGGCTACAAATCCTGTTTAAGAGCTTGCCTGAAGTAGGTTGTATCATCTCAAATGGAAGAAGAAGCAGGGATGCAGAGTTCCCAAATGGGGGGGGTCTCTATAAAATACTCTTTGAAAATACTCTGAAAAATACCAATAAAGGTTGCAGCACTTCCAGCCATTCACATCTTAAATCAAACAGTGCATCATTGACTTGTTCTAAGAAAGCAAAAAGCACATGAAGGTGCAGAAGCAATTGCTTCAGCTTTTCTTGGAACTTTCACTGAAAACAGTTGTGGTTATGTTTTACCAATTTAACTGGGTCCATCCAGGTATTGAAAAATAAATACAATAATTCACATTTTTCAAAAGAGATCACAAAATACAGTTTTCTTCCAAAACTAGAGGCACGTACCACTTTCAAGACTGAGCATCAACAATGGTTCTTACAACAAACCATACAGCTGGCTGTAGAATAGGCACCCTTTTTTCAAAAGGTTTCAAGACACTTTGTATATTTGGCTGAATAAAATTATTTTTTTTTAAAACAGTCTTTTGTTGCTTGGCAGAACAGAGGTGTTATTTAAAAGTAAGGTGAATGCAGCAGACACACAGAGAAGCAGCAGCTCCATCACAGGACAAGTCAGTGAATGTTTTGACGTGACATCTGAATTCAGTGATTTGTTGAAGACTCTCTGCAGTCTGATGGCAAATAAACAGCTTAAGAGGCAACTTGGGAACACAATATGAGTTTTCCTGCCCACCTGAAAGGCAAGTTACACTTCCTTTCACTCGTGTCGGCTTTTCTTCAACTGCAACAGTCATAACTTCACCTTTGTACCGAGGAATATGGAAGAGCTGTTTAGCTTGTATTTTTGGCAGTGCTCCTCTTCAAAAAAAAAATCACTCAGCACACATTGATTGCGCTCAACAAAAATCAAGGCGAAGCTTTGTAAATCCCTGGAAAAGTTCCACTCAGAGTCTCTAAAGCCGTTTGCTCCGGGAATGATGAACAAATTGTCTTACAACAGCCCACACTGTACACACGGTTGGCAGGGAGGGTTTTTAATCTCCTCAGCTGAAGACAGTAGTTGCATCCTTTTAGCTCCAATAAAAATACTAGAACTCCAATTATTCCTTGATAGGAAATTTCCAATTTCAAGCCACATCTGTTTAAAATTTCTTTTTCCTAATCCATTCGAGAACCGTTATCACAACGCTACAAAGAGCCACCGAAAAAGTCATCCAGTGTTTTGCAATGAAAAACAAACAAAAAAAACCCCCCCACAAAACCCAAGAAACGAGGGAGAAACTGCTAAACACGAGGAAATAAATGCAATTCAGCACAAATTGAGGAACACAGCAGCCTCGAATACACAGCACTCCACACACACCAATTCCTCATTAACAATCATAAAACTACGTCAGAACAAAGACTTGCCGCAATGGTTTTCTTTCAGAGGTCAAAAATTAAGTTGTGAGCGAGCTGTTATATTCATTTATTTCCACACTGGTTGCCTTGCTGGGAATGAGTGTGTAGCAGGTGCATTTATATTTTTAACCCTTTTCCAAACCACTGGTGGTGGAACAGAAGCATTCTGTCGACTTCCAGGTGAATGTCCCTGTGGAGCTGCAGCTGCCCAGCCCAGTCCAGCTCACTGCTCTGGGCTCCTGTGAGCATTAATGACCCTCTGGCGTTTCACCCGGTTCATGGCCCTGTTTTCTTCATACTGCAAGACAGGGAAGGAAATTAATACATCAGCTGCCATCATTAGACAGATATGTCAAATGTAAAAGTGTAGAGAGAGTTTATTACCCGGGAACAGAAACAATATATTCAACTGATGCATTAGACATACAGCTCTTGTTAATACCTACGTATAGGTTCGTTTTTACTTTGAAATTTACATTTGCTCCATTAAAATACACATTTCCAAGTTTGATGTTATTAAGCTAAAGAGTATTAGAAGACTTTAATAAAGAAGATTCAGTTAATCTTAAGAAGGAACTTAATTATACAGCGATTTTACATCTGACACTTCACACGTGGACTGGGCAAAAAGTTGCCCTGGTGCTACTCTGGAGCACAGGTCAGGCTCTTTTCCTCTTAAAATACTGATTAATGTGTGTCTGCCTTCTGAAGCATGGATTTGTCATCACAGACTTGGCCTACTTTTGATCCTGGACATCAATTAAATGCACAGATAAAGAGTATACCAAGATGAAAGGAACAAAGGTAAATTTGGGTTGAATGAGGGTAAGGCATTTGGGGTTTTTTTTTTAACGATTTAAACAAGAAGCACAACAGAGACAGGGCTCCAGGATTCCACTTAAAATGTAAAATGGAATCAAGAAAGCTTTCACAGTTTAGATATACGTGTAAGACCACCATGCTTTCATGTCTGCCCCTGCACTAGCAGAAGCTTGAAGAGCCTTTCTTTCATTGCAACCAAAAAGGAAACATTTTCATGGCTAAAAGAAATGAAAAATTAAAAATCAATGCACGACCTGATATATATTTCATGAGAAGCAAATTATTCTTGTTCTTAAGTTAGAGCATATATTTGTTCAATTTTTTAATAACCAGTATCATGACTAAAACCCAAGAAACCCACAAATGCCCAATTCTCTATATAATGTAATAAACTACTAAGGAAATTGATTTTGGAAAGGATTTGCAGTTTTTCATCCATTATACTGATTGGTCTATAACTGAGATAATGACCTGAAACATTACTTAACATTTACAGAATGCTTAACTTTTTCCCATGCCAATATTTAATTTTTCAATAACTCACCCATGATTTTATGTAGAATGAGAACAATGGATCTTTAAAAGCTACATTTACAAAGCTACATTCAATACTTGTGAACAGCCTTTCAGGGGCTTCCTAGTAATGGCATATCAATGTAGCCACATTTTTAGAAGGCAGACAAATATACTCATCAAGAACCCCTTTAATGTAAAGGTTTCAATGGGAGAAAAATAAGATTGATAAGATTACACGGAAAGAAACTTTTTACAATTGTGAAATTTATGTCAGAATCAGAAAGTGCAATTTCAAGTTAAGAGGTGTGTGAAAAGTTCATTTCTGCATTCTGTCATGTAGGCCTGGCAACCATGAATGTAAAGATCAGTTGACACTCTTCTGAAAACCTGCCCATTAAGACGGTAAATCCACTTAAACTCCTGGAATCTTCCCTCCTTCATATCTGCAGACATAGTACAGCAGTATTTTCACCCAGGGTCTAACTCAGCAACTCATTAAGTATTCTCAGTCAGTACAAGTGACTTCAGTTGTAAATGTTACTCATACAGAAGTGACCATTACTGCTTCATATCCTACTTTGTGCAAATACCACTACTAAAAAAAAAAAAAAAATTCAGAAAAAGCTCAGAAGCAATCTGTGAAGTGGCAGTTCCTGTCTGCAGTATTTGTTTTGGTGAAACATGTGTTTGCCTATTTTTGTGTGTCAAAAAATACACCACTCCATTTGTTAAAGCCAGATTTTACTTGACAAATTGATCAAAAGAAGTTTAAATTTGGTCTCAAATGCCCACCCCAGAACGTGGTTACTTTTATTGATTTG